AGGGTCGTTTTTTTCTTAGCGCTTCGGACGCCGCGGATTTGCCTCCGCACTTATGTCGGCGCGCATAAGGGCATCGCGGTTTTGTGGTGGAACCGTGGGATTGGTCTATAAGATTAGCCTCTATAATGGAGACTTATCTCCTCAAGTAGGACATTCCACAATTATGATTGTCTTGCTGGAAAATATATACATTTGCCTAATTCCTATCTCTGATTGGCTGGATATTAATCATAAGATAAGATCTTAAAATAGTTATTGTGCCCTGGGGTTTCAGCCATTAATTTTCTGTATGTCATAAAAATATCTCTGTTTTACTTATTCCTGATATTTTTCATGCAAAGTTAACTTTCCCTACCATGATTCAGAGAACAGATTTTTTCTATATGTAGGATATTCTAAAATGCTTTAATAAATGTCATGTAATTTTAAGCAATATAATTTATTTGGATTGTATAATTCTGCCGTTGCTTTACAAGTTAGGCAGGGAGGAGAAACCAAACTGTTTCAGATCTTTTTTCAAGATCTACATTTTAATATACAGTATCCTTATCTTCTTGTTTTGTGATCTCGCTTTCTTTTTTAAGGATTTCCACTGTCAGTCTGCAGGGGTGAAGCAACGTTTTGTGAGAGCCATGGACAGCAGTTCCAAAGTGACAGCAAGAGACATCGGCACAGCTTTTGATCTTTCACAATTCAAAGTTGTATGTGATTTGGGAGGTATAGATTATAACATTACTATCTCTACATATTGACATAAAATGTTCTAATGTACACTTGTGATTAAATGGATAGTTTTGTAAAGATTATATAACATATCTTAATGGTATATAATTACAGGATTTTTTTTACTACTTCAGAGAGATAATATACAGTCAAAACACTGTTTTAGATTAATGTCTTTGTGTCCCTGCCTTCAAACTTAAATGTTCAAAATTACATAAGAGAGGGGGGTAACTTTTTGTTTAGCAAATGCTATTATATCTGGTCATGGTGCATCATGCCCCAGTAAAAAAAATTCCATCATGTTTCCATACCATTTTCTTCAGTCCCCAGAGAGAAAATTTTAAATTATTCTTAACTGTACTAATATTAAAATAGTGTCCTTTCAAGGTATGTAAAATCTGTCACCAATAACTTGGAGAGAAATCATATGATTGGGAATAGAAACAGACAGATTAGGACCAGTGTAGTGACAACAGATATAATACCAACATAATTTTATGCCAGATCAAGAATTTGAATAGTTCCCGAAAAGCTTAACAATTTATTTTTCTTGCATCCAACCAGGAAAATATTGGAGGGGGGGGGAGTATAAATTCTATTGAAGATCTTGCAAACACAACATGCATTTAATCTGAACTTCTTTCCCATTTTTTGTACATAACAAAATAACACAAGAGTGCTAAAATAAATCTATGTATTCTCTCTGCAGGTTGCACTGGAGCTTTAGCTTATGATCTAGTCCAGATCTATCCAGAAATGCAAGTTATTGTCCTTGATCTTCCTGAAGTTATTACGGATGTCACCAGCTGTCAACTTTCAAAACAAAATGCTTGTGAAGTATCCTTTGTATCAGGTAAAGGTGTTTCTGCTATTTGTAGACCAAACCAAGGCACTTGTAAACCAAAGACCTTATATTGCAGGAGTAGTACATAAATAAGATCTCAATAAAATTCCAATTATCTGTGCAATAAAATGTTAATGTATGTGACTGCAAATGAAGCTATCTGGATTTATTTTAACAACTTGGTTCTAATGAAAATATTGACCAAAATATGCTTCACATTTTTTGTTAGTGGATTGCTTAGCCTGATTTTTTTTGCATCCAGGAATTTATGGGAATATGTTACGACCTGATCACTATATTTGAATCTATGTGCATTATGTTAAATGTTGCCCTGAGGTTTTTTTTAGAATATTGTAAGAATAAAATTTTCTCATTCTTCCCTCCAAAAATGTTTGGGGATGTTCTGCATGCATTTGAAGCGTGCTTATTTATTTATTTTAGTTTATTTATATCTCATGTTTCATTTTGTTTATGAAGCTGTTCAGTTGAAGATGTAATCACTTTTTGGGTGAACTAATGAAAAATATTTTCATTAAATAGGTGATATTTTCAAAGACAATCTTCCAGAAGCAGATCTTTATATTCTTTCAAGGGTTTTACATCATTATTCTGAGGAAAAGATTTCTCTACTGTTAAACAAACTCTCTGCTCTTTCCAAGCAAGGTAAGAGTTTAAATTCCCCTCCTCCCCATATTGATTTATTGGTTTTACATTTACATAATTATATGGATGATGTTTTTCATTCAATTAAATTTGAAAGCTAATGATGTTAAGACAAACTGAATTGTAGCTAATCTTTAACTCCAAAGCATTTTATTTAAAACTTCACAAACTTCTGTCTCTCAGGATTCAGAGTACAACTAATTATTGTATCTCCAAAACCCATAATTTAGCAGATAAAGCTTTAACATTTTTTTTAAATGTAAAAACAGTCATCCTTGCTGAAAAATAACATTCTTGCCTTAAACTGAAAAGAAAATCAACTTGGGCTCAAGGAGGGTTCAGGTTTTGAAGAAGGAATCCCATAGCAGCAGTTCCTTTGCTTAGTATATACTTCTATCTGTTGTCTATACTGCCTTTGATAATGCAGGCACTAGAAGAAAAGCCTCTGTAGAAAACCATAAAAGTGTGAAAAGTCTTCAAGTCTTCAAGTATTTGAGTTCAAAGCCATTTAGTACTTTAAAAAAGTCTTGGATTGAAACCACAGCTTACAGTCCCTGGATTTATCAGCTGATCACTGACAGCCATGATCTACATCAGCTGAATCTTCAGAATGTATTTCCAGAATAATATCTGGTTAGAACAATTTACCCTGATTGGCTCCTCTACACTAGCCTTTAAAGGAAGAAAAAGAAAACCAATTTCCTGGATCAGAGAACTATCTTTCTGTAGTAAGTCTTGTGAATTTTTATTTTTTTTTTTGGTTTTTATGCCATCCATTACAGTGTTCAAACGGATTCAGTACTTTTTCAGTCTCACTGACCAAGATGCTGTAGCAGAATCAGCCTACCAGTGGCTTTCCCAGAATCCCAATACCTCATCTAACAACTTTGTGTATTTATTTCATATAAAGTTGTCTTTAGAGCAGTATGCTATGGATGCTGATGCCTCAAACGTGCCTCCATGCGCTACAAAGCACTTTTTTGGAAGGGTTCTCACAGCCTTAAAACTTACAGAATCTTTAACAAAGTGTTGCTTGCCAAAGGATAATGTATAGAATTGATGTGACCACGAAAATTGAAAAATTTTATGGGTGGGTTGTGATTCCATTCACATCTAAATAGAGCAAATCTACTGACTACTGACTGGTTAAGCTTTCTCACATTTAATAAGATTTCTGGCAAAAAAGCACTGGAAAGTTTGGATCTGCTTGATAACCAGTTACTCACTTTATGATAATCATAAAAACTTCATAAAATGGAATCATATAGTGATCTACTTAATGACGACAACCAAAATTTCTGTAAAATTCTGTCTACTTGTAGTTTGATCTGTGCCTCCATACATAAAAAGCAATGTATGATTGTTGTAAATATTGCTCAATGTATGTCTGCTTTGCATATTTTGAAAAGTACTTGTATAAATGCTAACCACTGAAATTCCTAGTCTCATCACATTCAATATGTGCAATCTAATCCTGTAATTATTCAGTCAGAAGTAAATTCTACTGTTCCAGTGACTCAGAAATTCTCAAAGTACTTTAATCTTGATTCTATGTTCATGGAGTTGAATTCAGACAAAGTTGGAGAGCAAGCTAGCTACTGTATAAAATATAAAAATAAATTCACTGTAGCTGGGTTTGTTTTCCAGTTTAAATAGTGGTTGCAGGGGAGAAGCCAGATCAGGATTATCGCACAAAAGGAAAGGATCTTTGGGCTTTAGTCCCATATCACTGTTATCTCTTATGGCTGCTTCCACTTTTAATGAAGATTAAAACGAGTACCACTACTACTATGGTGGTAGTCTACTACTAAAACGAGTACCACTACTACTATGGTGGTAGTCTTTTCATTACAGTTCTGATTTGGGTTCCTCCCAGGTAATACTTCAAGCTAGGCTTCTTGATCTGCCATATTGGATGTCAGCATGTATAATGTCCATTTGCATATGAATTGAATTTCAAGATATCTAGAAGGAAAAAGATCGTGAAAACTATTTCAGATTATTTTTTTAAAAAGAGATCTCTTCATTAGTCTTGCATGAAAAGAGTCATAAACTCCTTCTTGGCATCATGGTTTCAATAAGAGGTCAGAATCAAAAGCCATGAACCTACAAGAGGCAAATTCCTTTTTCTCAGATATTCATATTCAGAATTGTTTATATTTAAAAGTAAGAGGATATTATTGTTCACATTACCAGATTGCAGTTATGTTGCAAGGGGAAATTAATCTCTGCGACTGTTTAGAAAGTGCTTACTTTCAATGTTTTGTTGCAGAATTATGTGATACAATTTGGGGATGCTCTGGGAGGTCACAAATAGTGTTGGAGGGAATGGTAATGCACATTGTCTATACTTGTTTTAAAATGTTAATAATTTGATCTTTTAAAAAATATAATCCTGTTTTCCTTTTAACAGGAAAAGCTTCATGTAGGATAAGAAACATTAACAAAAGACTAGCTGCATGTTATTATTTTTTTTAAATATAGGAATTGCACTGCTAATAGCAGAAATACTGCTTGATGAAAAGCGAATAAAACCTGCTAGAGCCGTTTTCCAGTCTCTCAGTATGACAGAAGGCAAGGAAAGAAATGCATTGGAATACCAAGAGTTATTAGAAGAACATGGATTCAGTAATGTACAGATTAAAATAACAGGAAATCTGCTAGATGTAATTTTGTGCTCTAAGAAACTATCTTCTTAGTACAGTATAATAGCATTGAATTTATTATTTCAGTTTTCCAGAATACTGTTTCTATTTCTGATTTTGATGTCTCTGAATTGTTGGTGAATTGTATGGAAATGCTATTCTACTTTTTATTACTTGTTAAAAACTGCACTACATGTAATTTCCTTCTGAAAAGTCCTGTCTGTTTTTGTAACTAATAGTAATTGATCTCATTAAATCATTTCCCCTCCCCCATTACATGCTCTTTCTAACTCAAGGTGTGTAATGTAATCCCACATCTTTTCTATGCATCAAGAGCTGTACAGAGGGCAGGCATCAATTCTATAGTCCAATAGCCCTATTTTGTAATGGCAAAATCCAAGAAATATTATGAGAAAACATAAAAAGAATCTACACCCCCACCATCTCCCTCTCCCAGCACACACATACGTTTGGTGATAGTGATTACGCTTATTCAGGTTTAATAAATAAGCCACATGACAAACCACTCTTGTTGTGATAGAATATGCATTTGCAGAAGCAGTGAAGGAGAATTTTGGCAACAGAGCTTTCCCGGAAAGAGTCTTGGATTAAAAAACTGGGGACCTCAGCTGGTGAAGGGATAGAGGATCAAGTGAGCCATGATAGTGCAATGGTTAGAATGCAGTATTGCAGGCTAACTCTGCCAACTGCCCGCAGTTTGACTCTCACCAGCTCAATGTTTACTCAGTCTCAGACTGAATCCAGTAAAACAAGGACCCAGATTGTTGGGGGCACTGTGCTGACTCTAAACTGCTTAGAATGGGCTGTAATGTATTGTGAAGTGGTATATAAGTTTAAATGCTATCAGGATAGTCACATCCTAGAATCTCTAAGCAAATAAAGGATTGGAATTGATTGGATCTTATCTCATTTCTGGGTTTGTGCCCGATACATGTTATGACTGAACCCACTGCAAAAAATTTAATTTTTATTTACAGATTAGGAGCACTAAAACTTTGGTTACTGTGGTTCTATAGTGACTTCTGGATTACTGTATTTTTCAGAATATAAGACACACCTTTTTCCCTCAAAAAAGA